AATAAAGAGGGAAAAACAAACAAAATGACACGTGTGGGAATCACAATATTGTTTTTTTTCTCCAAAAAGCACCTTTATTTTATAATAATTCCGATCAGGCACCCAATCCCCAAAATTTACCGATATAACACCTTTTCTGACAGAGAGATAATAAGGCGCGTAGCAGGAAACGCGCTTTGCAAAAATGTAGGGAAGGCACATTACAGGGGGTGTGCTTTCACCGGGTTTCGTCTGAGCTGGCGCCATGGTGGAAATGCGCGTTTCCGAGAATGCACCTTTGTGTGATTCTGGCGACACGTCGGAAGGCTCGTTGCAGCTGTCTTTTATTTAATTCCGACCAACCCGCTCTCGCTAAAAGCCCATCCCTCTCCCCGTATAAATATCCCCTTCCTCACACTCAAATCACACCTAAAATTCTCCATTTTCTCTAATCTTGCTATAAATAGGATTTCTCATATTATTTACCGTTCTCATAGTTTTTAGAGAATAAAAATCTATTTTTTTATTATATTTATTTAATATTTTATTATTTTCTAAGATTTTATTCTGATAAGTAATTTTTTTATTTTGCAATTGTAAAATGGAAGGTCGGATGCTCTGATTGGATGCAAATCATATCTCGAGTCATTTTGTCGATATGGCAACAATATTAAGTTGTGTTATTTTAATTGTTGTAAATATTATATTAATTTAATTTTTTTAGTATTAGATTAAATTTTAATTCATAGACTATTTATTAATTAGAGAAATGATCATATATTAGAACTATATATTTGTAACATTAAGATAGACATACCCCATCCTATCTGGAGGTATTTAACCGAGGCTGAGTTTGGTTACATAGATAAATATGAAGGAGGCTGTAAACTTGAACATACTCTTATTTTTGCACTAATTGAGAGGTGGAGACCAGAGACACATATTCCATCTTCCGTATCTTCTGTGTGGGGAGTGCACTAATACGATGGAAGATGTTTTCATGCATTTGGGGCTTTCGGTAGATGGAAAGTTATTTGTGTGTGGCATATGATGATTGACATTCATTGTGCTAGGAGTATCTTGGTGGTATCTTGCCTGAGTTTAACGGTGGTCGAATATTGTTAGCATGGCTGCGATCAAACTTTAAACGGTTGAATGAAAACTATTATGAGGATGAGGCTAAAGCATTTGCTCGGGTATACATATTACGAGTCATATAAGGGATCTTGATGCCTAAAAAATCTCGTAACCAAGTTCATTGTATGTGGTTGCGTCACCTCACTGATTTTGAGTACCCGACACATTTAGTTAGAGCTCCGTAGTTTTGGCATATCTGTTTAGAGAAATGTTTCGGGTAACGGATTATCAAAAAATGCTATTGGCGCTGTCTCCTTCTTCTCTAACTGTGGGTGTGGTATCATATGCCTTTTTTTTATGTCCAATCGTGAATGAGCCGTTTGTCTTCCCGTTATTTTTGAGGTGATTTCAATACTAAAGACATATATAAATAATTTTGTTTAGTATATAATGAAATATTTTTTTATATTGAATAGGTGGTCATCAACAAGGAAAATCCATCATGCCATACCTGCTGAATTGGAAGAAATACGTTTACTCATTGATCAAAAAGCTGGTATAGAGATATATTTTAAAATTTTAATATTTAAATTTAATTATCGTTATATAATTAGAATATTATTTTGATAATAAATGTATATATTTATTTTAGTTCAAATGGGATTCTTATTCAATGGATGAAATAAGGGTTTGCCTCCCACCTGACTTGAGTAGGCTATTAGATGTATGGATGGCGACAGTACCTCTTATATGTTATACTATTGTCGAGTGGCATCCGAACCGATCGTGTGCTTCATCAATTTGGTTCCGTACAATATATTCCTAGAGCATCTATGAATATCGATAATTTGCATAACATTGATAGACGGGGAAAAAAGAGGTCAACTGGGTGATGAAGCACAAAGATTGGATAATGATGTGGGAGGATCGACATCAACACATCCCCACTTGATAGTACATGCATGAAACTGGTTATTTGGTTATAGACGACTATATTCCCTAGTTCAACATGAACGAGAAGTCATTCCTACTTTTTGAGGAAGCACGAGGCAGGAGAATTCATCAACGTCAAGATAAGTGTCCACTGTCACAACATCATCGTCCCCTGACTCGTGAACGAAGAGCAAGCGCTTTCGGCTCGTCTTTAGCTGTAGAACCGAAGCCATCACATCATCCACCATCACAATCGACTTACATTCCCAGCTTGTCAGTTCAGATGCCACCACATCACCCTCAGATGTCATTACATTACCCTCAGATGCCACCACAATCTGTTCAGATGATACAGTCGCTAATTCAGATACCACATTCATTGATTCAGATGCCACCACCATATGGTTACATGCAGACTCTACAGGGTTTTATGACACTTCATGGCGGATATTATACTACCATGTCTATAGATTCAGCGTGGGTTTCATATGCTGCTTATCTAACGGGTGGTGCTCCACCACAGACACCACCTCAGCATGGATCATAAACATCAATGTCGGTGTTCTCACAGTTTTTGCACCTCTCTATGAGCGATAGTATGGTTAGTCATACACCTCTAGGGTCCTTATTCTATATAGGTCCTATAAATTAAGTTGTAATTTCTATAAACTACTCTAATTAGCCCTAAAATATATCAAAACATGATGATCATAATATTAACATGATAAGACATACTAAAAACAATATAATACATGCAAACACTGTACTACCCAAAATTTGGCTAGTAACTAAATGTAAGTTTTGAAAGTTCAGTGGTTAAAGTATAAACTTATAAAAGTTTAGAGACCAAATATTTAATTTTGAAAAGTTATATATTTTAGCCCTTAAACGAACAATTTGGCCTAAAATAAGAATTTTCATGGTAATCAGATTTTCGGTACGGAATTTGTGTTAAAAGCTTTAAAGCAATAAAATTCGATATAGAAATCGGATAATCGGATCGAACCGAAATTTTACAAAAATTTGAAGGACGCTAGATAAGTGTTGGAAATACTATTTCCATATTTTAGATCAGAGAAATTTAGCATAGATCAATGTAACTTTTTAAATTTGACCGAACAGTAAAAAAAATTAGTAACTAAAATGTAATTTTCAAAACTTGCATAAAAAAGTAGAAAGTCAAAGCAAAGTTGATTTATCTTTGACTATGAAATATTTTAATGGAAGATAATGCAATGGCATTTGATAATTATCAAGGTTCATTAATGGCAAATTAAAGATTTCTCATTAATTGAATTTAATATTCAATTATATTATTAAGCCATGTGTTAAAGTTAATTTAACACTAGAATAATCAAGAAAACTAGAAACATTTTCAGCCATTTCTTCTCTCCAAGCCGTGAGTCTCCATAAAAGGTAAGAAAAATTTTCAAGTTCATTTTTAAGGTTACACGATTGATTTTTGGACTAAGTTGTGAAATAGAGAATTATTTATATGAAATTCTCTATAATTTGGTATAGATATTACATGGTGAACATATCTATTTCATGAAATTGGAAATTATGATTTATGTAAGGTTTAGGGATTTTGAAAGATTGATGAAAGATTATTATGTTCTTGATGTTGAAGATTAATTCTAAGGCATGTGTGATGATTAAAACCACATGAAATTGGGTATAAGACTATTTGACCATGACCTAGGGTTTTGAAAAAAAATTGATTTGGATTAATTATGTTAGGAGTTTGGTTTTAGAAGTTTAGAAATGTTGTTTAGAGGTTGAATTGATGCTTGAATCAAGTAGGAAATCATGGAATCCCTACGTTATAGTATTCAAACATGGGGAAAATTTGGGGGAAAATTTTGAAAAATTTCCTATAGTTTAGAAGTAATATTAGAAGTGTTCTATGTGAATTGGGGATAAATTTGGAGCAATTTGGAAGCTTAAATTAGAAAAAGGGCTAATTTTCTAGTTTTGTGAATGTTGGGACATTAATGTATAAATGTGAAATTTCAGTTACTAAATGTTGAATTTTAATGATTAAATGATGGAAATTTAAGTTAGAAAGTTGATTGGAATCAAATTGCAAGTTTGGTAAAGTTGAGGGTGGAATTCATAACGTCTTAATATTATAGGGACTTGATTTTTCAAGTTTATTAAATGTGAAAGTACCATTTGGGTAAAATAGCACAATGCTTGAATTAAATATTAGTTTGGGGATTGATTTGTAAGTTTGGTGAGGTGAAAGGTTGAAATTGAAAAGTCTAAGAAAGTTATGATGAAATTGCAAGTTTTTAAATGTTTAAGTGTTGATTTGAATATTTTATTAAGGTGCTGGAAATTTTATTTTATTAATGTGACATGATCATAATAGTGAAGGGTTGTTATGAATTCAATGAAAAGTTAAGGTGAATTCTAGAAAGAATTCAAAATTAGTGATTTAAATTATGTATTTAGCAAAAGTTGAAGGGTTGATGATGAAATAAATATTTATGAAATTTAAGGAATATTTTGAGAAGTTTGAAATTATGATGGAAGTACGATTTAGTTTTATATCGATTTAAGTATCAATTTTATTTCTATCAAACTTTATATTTAAGCTTAGATTATGTTAGTCTATACTAACATATAATTTAAATATTTTATGTATTATATGACGTTGTCAGACCACGATAAATCTACTGGTCTATGTAACTCAAAAGAGAAAGAAAAAGTGCAGAATTGAGAAGATTATCGATGAAAAGGTTCGACAGGGAGACAAAGGTGAGTGCATTTAATTTGTATTTATGTCATCACACAAACATTGGCTTGCGATGAGCCAGTGACAGAGTTACTACGGTAAGAAGTGACTCCTAATGTTATGTGAATTATGATTTTATCCTATATGTTCATTTATTAAGCTTATAGAATTATGGAATTTAGTTAAGTATGCTAATTAAGTAAAGTTGTCTAGAAATTATGATTCAAACAGTAAGTTTAGAAATTAATCATAAATTATACATAAATAATTAGAGGATGAATTTTATACCATCAGATTCATATATCAGTCTAGTTTTTTCTAGAACAAACGGCTATTGATTACGAGGTGTATATAAAAAATATGAATTTTTAATCGTGGATAGGCCAGAAAACAGGACACCAGATTCTGCTCAAAACAGCATATGTCAACCAACTTTGAAAATTTTCTATTAATCGTACAAGTTGAAATAGAAGAAGTTGCTTATATGGTTAGATTCGTCAAGTCTACTTTTCAGTGG